TCCTAAACTTCTCAAAACCAAACCAAACCCCACCCCCCCCCCCCCAAAAAAAAAAAAAAAAATTAGTGTACTGAGAACACAACTGAGCACAACAAATTTCATTTTGCAAGTGGTTTAATACTTAAAAAAAAAAAAAAAAAAAAAATTCTAACTACTTGTATAATAAAACTTAGTGTTATAGGTTGTGTTATTGGTACACTCATTGAGTACGAGCATAATATAAGACAACTCTTTTATAAGATAAGATCAACTTAGAGTAAAGTGAGAAAAAGATGGACATTCCATTTTAAAAAGCCACCTTTTGAATGGATAAATTAAAAATTATAAAGATAAATGCTTATTAGTTCCTCAAAGACAAGAAGATGATAGATTTGGTAAATGGGGCAGGTCAATGTCAATGTCCATGTCCATGTCCATGTCCATGTCCATGTCCTCTTTTTTTTCTTTAATATAAAATTGGGAGAATTGAAGGTGCATTGTATTTCTCTTTTTTTTTCTTTAATATAAAATTGGGAGAATTGAAGGTGCATTGTATTTGACTGACCTATAGTCCTCTTATTTTGGGAGAGTTGAACATTAGAGTGTGGAACAAATAAGATTACAAAATAATAAGAATATTATTAAACAAACGAGAATGTCGAAACCGCTACAAAACCTTAAGAGGTTAAATCGTGACTAATTTATTGTTTAATGAATCTAACAAAACCTAATTCTAACGGGCTGAGCCCAAATCCTAAATCTATTATTTTCCAACAGAGAGAAGGTGCGTTGTATTTGGAAGACAGTTGAGAAGTGAGTCCATCTCCTTCAACAAGAGGACTTACATGCAAGGTTTTAAACTGTGCTAGGCGTTAGTTGGACAACGATCAGGGGCTTAGCATCTTGGTATCTAGGTGGGAACTTAGGTGATTTTTTTAAATTTTAATTAAATTTATTATATAACATATGAATAAGTGTCTACTTATATTGAAAATACGGGAACAATCATATAATGAGTGTTCATCCAAGTATTAAACAAGTCTCGCTTACAACTTATTAAAAAACTAAAATGCAAAATAAAAGTTATCTATTTTCTGTCTAAATAAGAGGCGCAACCTAGGCGGACTAGGTTAGATGTATTTTCTTAATTTTTAAATACCTAAAGATTAATTGAGATAGTGATTAGCCGTCTAACGACTAACACCACATGAAGATAGAGGGTGGCCGAGTATCTCTGACATTTCTCTAACATAAGCTTGTATGAAAATATTAAGAACCACATAGTGGGCCTCTGCAAATGAGTTAATGGGCCACTTCATTCAACTGGACTGATTTTACAGAGTTTGGGCCTCGTTCGAGAAGCCCAGAAAGCGTACAAGTCTAGAAGCATCGCGTAATCTCTCTTACTCTTTAAACTCTCTTGTAACTCACGTTCTTCTCTGCTCTCTGCTCTGTTCCCAGCTTCTAGGGTTTTACTCTCTCTCTCTCTCTCTGTCTCCCCCTTTTCTACAAAAACATGAGGTAAAATTCTCTTCCTTCTCTTCAAATTTATTCAATTCTTCTGCTTTCGGCCTCTGATTTCATCGTCTTTGCATTCCTGCCATTGTGTTCGTCGATATGCAATTTTTGTATATTTTTTTTATTCCGATTGCTCTCTGTAGACATGTAAACTCAGTAATTTATACTTTTAATTTAATTTAATCCATGTTTTGCTGTTTAATATGGTTCAAGAAATGGAAAATATTATATTGGAATCTTTTGCTTTATTGGGTATTTTTTTTAATTTTATTTTTTGGATTGAAGCCTTTGATTAAATATTAATCCCTGTTTTGGTAATGTATTATTCACCAATTTAAGGATATTTATTTGTCCTTTTGATTTTTTTTCCTTACCGCTCTGTTGATATTTGGTTCTGGAATTTATACAAAACAGTAAGAATTCACTGAGAATTTTACTTTAGTTTTTGTTTGGGTGATATTCGATCGAATGATGCATATTTGAGGCAAGTTTTTTCGCTAATTGATGGTTGGTTTTCGCAGTCGTCATCCGGAGGTGAAGTGGGCGCAAAGGGTGGATAAGGTTTTCCTTACCGTGCTTTTGCCTGATGCAAAGGACGCCAAGGTTAAGCTTGAACCCGATGGAACGTTCAGCTTCTCGGCTAGTGCTGGTGCGGAGAATCACCAGTATGAACTCAAACTGGATCTCTTTGATAAGGTTAATGTGGAGGTGAGAATTTGGTTGTGCAATCACAGATGCTCTTGTATTATTCAGAGATGATAGTGCTTATGCGGGTTCTTATTTCGTTGTGTGATTATTCCGCTTTGTTATAGGAAAGCAAAATAAATGTTGGCGTGAGGAGTATCTTCTGTATTGTGGAGAAGGCGGAGCCAGAATGGTGGCCTAAGCTGTTGCGTGGAGATGGAAAGACACCGCATTATGTCAAAGTAGATTGGGACAAATGGGTGGATGAGGACGATGATACTGCCGGTATGCAATTCCCGTATTCTGTTCCATTTCCTCAGACTGTTTCATTTGACGAAAATGTGTTTGTTGTACATTATTATTAAAATACCACTTCTTGTTTTCAGCAGGATCAGGTCCCGGTGACATGGATTTGGGAGGGATGGATTTCTCGGTTAGTAAATATTAATTCTTGGTGTTTTCCCTTACCTGAACTGTTTTGATGTTTCTATTTGTTGTTCTGACGCTAATTGTACTATGCAGAAATTCGGTGGCATGGGAGGTGATGATATGGGAGGAATGGGTGACTTTGATGATAGTGATGAAGGTAAGAAGACTATTAGCGCTTAATCTTTAGTGGCAAGCATAAACATCTTACTAGGAAGTCTAGGTCTAGAATTCAAAACACCGCGATATAGGCTTAAAGGTTCCACAATGTTTGATGAGCGTGAAAAAACGAATGGGTATTGGAGATGACTCTACTCAGACAGTCTTAGGTTTCGGGTTCAAAGGAGTTAAGGTGGGTTTTTTGATGCGGACCATCCCATTGGGAAAATGTTCATGCCTTCTAATCTTAGGGTTGAAGTTCGTTTTATAAATATTTCTGCCTTGAATAAGCTCTTGCTTTGGATTTTTTGCCTGCTTATCGCTGCACGTAAAATTACTTTAATCTGTTCATTTGTTGGATGAAAAATAACACAAAGATTGCTAAAGCAATAGTTGTGTGTTCCGTCTTGGTTACCAGTAATGTTCCCTCGTCCTTTTATTGTAGATCCAGATCTATCAAAGGCAGAAGATGAGGCCGCCGAAGAGCAGGATGATGTTAAGGCCGGAGTTGATACTTCGGAAGAGAAAAAGGAAGCTACTACGAGCGCATAATTTCGCGCTACTAGTCTTGACGGGGTCAGCCAAGCTTGCGTGGTTATGGAGTTTCGTGTTTTCCTTTTCACCTTAAGTTACTACGGGTGTGTTTTTATCTAACCGTGTTTCGTCCATCGTTTTAGTTAGCAAAATGATGAGTTCTTGTGTGTTTAGAGAAGTGGCAGTACGGGGGATGTTGTACTTTTAGTTATTTGTTTGATGGATTTGAATTTTAAGTCCTTTGTTTGATGGATATTTGTTTTGTTTACCTTCTTATGGGTAAACCCTCTTTTACACAATTTGAGTTAACTCTTTTTATTGATGAATCCTCAAGGGAGGTACATTTTAGGAGCCATGTTCAACTTATCAAACATTCTTCTCTATTTCTAGCACATGAATTTAATAAATCAAACGAACACAATGATAAGAACAATAACAATCGAGTCTTATTAAGTGGTGTTCGTTGTATGAATTTCAAAATGTTATTTTACTCGGTTTTGTATTAAAGTATTTCATTAGCTTCAAACATTATATATATTATTTTAGTTTCTTTCAAAGTCTTCAATGATCTGTAAGTTAGCGGTTTACGTGTTTAAATCATTAAGTGGAATGAAAAACACAGAAATTTATAAAACGATTTAGGGGTCGTGAGTACACTCACAACTCTTCTATGTTCGGCATTAAAAATATGTTACTTGATAGCGGTGTTAAATTTTCACTGACTCGTAAGTATTTTTTAAAATTTAGTAAACTTACCACTGAGGCCTAAAAAGTGTGATAACGAAATTCCGCAGGTTAGTGGCTACATTTTTCAAACGCTGAATTCTACAAATCAATTATAACTTGTGAGTGTTACTATATTTTTTTTAACAGGATCATAGGAAATCATAAATCGTGTTCATTTATTGTATATCATGAGATTAATTTTTATCAGGTATTGTTTGTATTTAATTTTAGATAAAAATATTTAAAATAATTTATGATCGCACGATGTACGATAAACGGATATGATTCACGGAATTTACAGAATCTTTCAAGAAGATTCGGATTCGTCAAACGCTTTTGGAGCAGTTCCAGCGTGGGAACCCCTCCCCAGGCAATACACCATGCTATCCATTCAATGAACAGTAACTGTCCTTAATGAACAGTAATCGCTTTTTACATCTTCACCGTTGCACTTCAATAACTCTAGTAATAGGCAATAAAATATTAGTATATTATTTTATTTATAAAATAATACAAAATAATTTTATTTGTAATTTCGGATAAGATTTTTAATCGTTCTTATTGCGTCACGTGTCATTATTCGAAAAGTTATAAAATAATACAAAAAATTTTTATTTGTAATTTCGGATAAGATTTTTAATCGTTCTCGTTTTGGAAAAGACAATTATTGGTGATGGATTTCTGATAAGATTTTTAATCGTACTCGTTGTCATTATCCAAAAATACAATTATTGATGATGGATTTCCAATAAGATTATTAACAAATCACGTTGCGTCACGTGTTATAATCTGTTTACAATCTTTGAGGATAGATTTACATAAGATTTTTAACGAATGACGGCATGACACGTGACATTATCTACAACCTAATCCTTTCTGAATCCTCCATATAATCCACCATCCATCCTCACAAATCTAACACTAATTTTCTCAAGATCTCTATCATTATTCATAGTTTCTACTTCATTTTTACAATGTCTTCTTCTTCAAGGATGTTGTGGGAAATCAATCTGCAAGAGGAAAAATTGTTTAACCAATCAGAAGGAATGCTCAATCTCCAGGTAGCCCAAAATGAGATGGAAGAGGATGAGGAACGTAGAAGGAAAGATGACGAAGTAAGAATGGCAAGAGCCTCACATTCCTATCAAGTCATCCAAGTTGTGGGTCGGATCTGTAGGTCCAGCTATTCCGGAAACCTTGATAGAAGCAGACAATGACGAGGTACGGGACTCTTGAACGAGTATTTTGTCCGTAATAGCATTCCTGATACGTATTTAGTGGTTGACTTAAAGTAGACTTGGCTGACCCCTACCGTGGTCCGTAGCGGAACTAAAACCCTAAACCCCAAATTCTATATATTCTAAAGCTCAGCGGATTGACACTGTTCATTAACAGTGCCAATCCGGTTTTGCCCCTGATCTAACGCACGGTTTTCAGCCCTTTAAAAGATGCTACATGAATTGGCGATTTTGCCCCTTGGTAGAGTGAGTCTACATATGGGAAGGTGCTCGAACCCTCTCTCATTTTCTTCCGTTTCTTTTCCCTTTCGCCTGCTCCCTATTTCTCTCTGCTTTTCTCCATGTTCGATCTTCGTGTTTCCTTGCTTAACTCTCTTCGATTTTCTTCCGTCGCTTTTTCCTTTCTCTTCCTCTCTGTTTCCGTGCTTTTCTCCCTACGTCAATCCTTCGTGTTTCCCTGCTTCTCTCTCTGCGTCGATCGTGTGTCGTATGAAGAGTTTCTTTTCCGGGTGATTGCACTGTTTCAGGTGGTTTCTCTGCTTATATGTTTTTTGTCTTTTCTTTGATTGGGAAGAAATTTGCAGATCGATCGCTGTAAAATTAAAGTCTTTGCCTTTTGCACTGATTGTTTCCTTTCTTTCTTTTTTTTTTTTTTGATGTTTTCAGTGTGGCTGTTTGATCTGATTGGGGTTTTTTTGTTTCAGGAAAATTGGTGTGCGAATTTTAGGGTTTTTGTGTACAACCTTGCAAACCCCTTCTGATTAAGGTCTCTGAGTTTTTTCTTCAAAACTTTTCTTCTTTTTTTTCGATGATTTGTGTGTGGCTGTTCCATCTAATTCGAATTTTCGTTTTAGGAAATCTTGGTCTTCGAGATTTAGGGTTTTCGTCTAGATCGATTGCTCGATCGATGTAAAATTAAAGTCCACAGTTTTTTTTTTTTTTTTTTTTTCTCTAAAACTCTGTTTTACTGTATTGTTTCTGTTGCATTGGTGGTGTTTGCTTGGTTTTGTTCTCTGGTCTCATAAATTGAATAGTTTTTTTTTTAGTGGTTTCGTGCTATCTTGGACTCCAAGTGGAAAGCCCAGGGAGCAGAAAATGGACAATCACAATTATTATTGGTTTTTATATTTATTTTAAACTCATTTTAATTAATTAATTTTTTGACCAATTAATTTGAAATATGTGGTGAAATGATCATATATAATTAAGTTTATTAGTTTGCTAATTTTTTTTTTTTTTGGGTGTGTTTTAGTAGGTGGATCGGATTTGAAGTATTTTTTAGGGTGGGTAAAAAGGTTGAGCGGAGTTGGGAAAATTCCTAAGGTAAAGTTCTTATGCCCTTCTCTGTCTTTTAAAACGAAACCTTTAGGCACACAACTTCGTTTTTCCAAGTTTTTTTTTTTTTTTTTTGTGCTGCTGTTAAGAGTCGATTAGTTTTTAGGCACACAAGTGATCATATGGATTAGAATTTGACGAAATTACACTGATTCAGATGATATTGATCAAAAGAATGAGTTAGAAACTGAAAATTACAATAGTTACAGAGGTTTTTGGAATCAATTTTTTTGTTTTTTTTTACAGTTAAATCTGTTGATTAGTTGATGTGGAAAGAGTTTTTGGTTGATTACTTATGTGCATAATACCTATTAGTCTTTTTTCCTACGTAGCTACAAACTTATCAATTTGATATCACTATTCATTAACAGTGAATGCATTGCAAGAAATAAATGACAACTATTTGTTTAATCCTTGGTATAATATATTCCGCCATAACATGTTAACAATTGTTTTAAACCAACATGATCTTACCCCATTTCCAAACCAAATTAAAAAGTACGGATCAACTCACATGTTAAAAAAATTATAAATTTAAAGAACTAAATTTAACAACCATTGCCTGTTTAGTTTAACACAGATTTCCTCTGTTTGATTGCCAAAAAAATGCTCAGAAATAAAACAACTTAATTTCCGTGCTATTGTTGTGATGGATGTTTATTTTAACTAGCTTTTAAGTTTTTAACTTATGAATTTAAGATCTTCAATTTTAATATTTAAACATTAATGTTTTTTTTAGTGCAGTGGTTAAAGAAGAGTAGAAGAAACGTTCTGTTTATTCCTCCAGAAAAGATTAAGAAAGGTGAGTTGATCATAGGATTTAAATTTTAACGATTCAACTTTAAATGCTAGCATATGATGGTACATTGAAGATGGTATTTCAACTTTGAGTTTTAACTCTTTACTGTTATTTTTTTTATTTGGTCTTTGGCATGCCATCATACATAATAACATAACTTAGCATTTACCAAAAGATTTAAACATGTAAACTAACTTAGCATTTACATTTTTCTTTTATAGTTGGTGGTCACAAATCAACTGACTCAACTTTATATCAACATTGGAGCATGCCTTACAAGTGTAAATCAACTTTTTTATTCTATTTTATAGAATGAATTAAGTTCTGAAGTTTATATATTCTGAAACCGTGTTCGTCACTGGAAGTTACGCAGCTATGCAGAGGGTTACGTAGTGGAACTTGGATTTCAAAGATCACAGTGAACAGGGTGATAGGTGTATTTCCTCATTTTTTACCATTTTAGAACTTATATTAGTGATAAATTAATTCGAATCATGTGGCATGAACTTAAAGCTCTGTTTGGGAAAGTGGGCTCTTTACCCCAAAGATGCTTGCTTTTGGTAATATTTGGAATTGTGCTTCTAAGCTGTTTTTCAAGCTTTTGGCCATACAAAATGGAGCTAAGTCGAACAGCTCTTCAGTTGCATTGTAGTTGCTTTCCTAAATTGATTGTTCATTTGTTGAAAAAATTTTAAGGGCGAAAATTATGTTTCAAATTGGATTTAGATATGAGTATTACACATTCAAGGTGTTGAATTCATCTTTGTTTTGGTGTTTGTGGTTTTGAATGTGATTTAGTGCAGTATAGCTTTAACTTAAATGTGGTTCTGTATATCTTAAGTACTCATTTGGATTTTGAGCATTAGGAGAGAGTTTAGCACGTATTTGAGGAAATGCGAAGAACTTTTTTTGAAATGGTTAGAGTTTGAGATTCTCAGAAGGAAGTTCCTATGAGTTTTTGGTTTTTTGTGTTGATATTGAGTATATGGCTCATATGAAGTAAGAGTTTCTGGTGATAGGAATTATCGGGTATCTGCAATAATGAGAATGCAAAGTAATAGGTTTGTCATTTTTTATTTATATTAATTTCTTATTGTTTTGTAGATTAATAATTATGCATCTGATTATATTTTATTGTGTTAATGTATAGCAAAATAGAGTGAGAGTGAAGAATGAATAAGGGTAAGATTTTCAAACTATCCAAGGGCTTTAGTATAATAAAATGTCTCGACAATTTTACCTTATTTTTTCCTATTTACTTTAAAAAAAATTTAGCCTCTCAAATCCATTTTGTGCATTAGTTTTAAATTCTCACTTTAATCTCATTAGTTTGATTCTAATTCAATAAATTTATGTAACATACAGTTTTCTATTAGAAAAATAATTGACCTTTGAATAGAAGACGTTGTCTTGCTTGATATTACTAGACTAGCAGGTCAAAAGATCAACCTTTTCCTATCTCTAAATGTTGATTCCTCTCTATTCAACAGAGTAATTCCTTTTTATTTTCAAGCCTTGAATTTTATAAACTATTACATTTTAAAAGTGTAAGTTGATGATTACATCTGTCCATTTCTTGAAAAAAATTAAATTATCAAATGATGTCTCATGATACCAACTCCCCTTACTAGGGCATTATGAATCCAGTCGAATGTAACCTTCTCATTCCCTTTTCCCAACATTTAGAATAATTTTTTTATCATGCATATTACCGTTCTTCATTCTAGATTTGATTCGTTTAGTATTAAAGCTGATGCAAGGATTAATATCTCATTGTACCACTGCAACTATTACCACAGTTGTCACAATTGCAGAGATTCTCAAAAACAATAGATTTGCTGTTGAGAAAAGTAAGACATCTGCTTTTATTTTCCTCCTTTCAAAATGAGACAATCAAATTAATAAGTGTGGAATATCATGTTTATGACATCTTACTTATTAAGAAAAAACTTTACATGTGCAATTATTAAAAAATATCTAATTGCGTAACAATTAGTTTTTTGGGCTAGGGTTTTTGAGTTATTTCACGATTCTCTCTCCTCTTTATTTTTTTTTTAATTACATGTAATAGTTTATGGTCAATGTGATTCCGTATCTATTTGATTAATTATATTCTTAGATTATGTAGGAAGAGTAGCAAGTAGCAATGATGATGCTTTTTAAGTCAGTTACTCTTCTTATTACATCCTTTCATATAACAAAGTCATTCGGATAATAGCCTTGCATATAACATCCTTTCAGAAGCAATCCATATTGGTAAACATCGTTTTCCTATTTTTCTTTTATTATATATTTTCAAAGTGTAGTATTTTGACCAATAATTTGTTATTACAAGGGATTTAGATTTTTTATACGTGAACAATTTTTTTGAAGTGTTAATTAAAATGGTTAATTGATGGGTAGTACTTACCTATGCATATTCTTGCTTAGTATTTACTATGCACATGCATATTCATGTTATACTAAGTATAATGTTCACTGTCATTCACTTAATCACCGGATATTTAAAAATATTTTTTTCTTTCCATTTTTTCTTGCTGAAGTGTTAAGCAATATAAACTAATACAAATTTGGTTTTTTCATTGTTAATCTACTCATGCTAGGGATAATTTGAGCTTTTACAGTCTTTTGAACATTTTTCATATTTAACTTGCAGGATCAATGTCACTATACACTTTTCTGCAACTGTTTGTTCTGTCTTTCTCCCTTCCTTTGTGTAATTTTAGTCAATTGAACTACTCTTTTTAACTTAAGATTGAACTGAAGTGCTAAGAACTTAGTTAAATAAAAGTTTACATTGGTTTGATGACATTTAGGTGTTCAGTGTTAGGTGCATGATTATTAGCTCCACGACCATTAGATACATGATCTTTCATATGTTTTTACTATAACATATCATAATCCCGCAGCATCGCGCGGGTAGCACTTTCTATTTACATCTATTTGTCCAGCCGCAGAGAGAGAGAGAGAGAGAGAGAGAGAGAGAGAGAGAGAGAGAGACAGAGATGGAAGCTACGGACATGGAGGTGGAGGAACTCCCTCCGTCCAATCCTGACCCCTTCAAGCGTATCTCCCTAAAAAATTCCATCCAAACCAACTTCGGCGACGACTATGTCTTCCAAATTGCCCCCAAGTACGTCCCTTTTCTTCTTAACTTTTACTTTCTGTTTGTTTACACAGGAAAATTCTGAGAAATGAGCAACTTAACCTTTGAGTTGCGTTTTTCAGCTCGCACTTTACCTCAATCTCTTTGCTTTCGTATATTTGTTCTGAAGCCACAGGGTTGTGCTTAATTGGATTTTATGATTATTCATTGGGTGTTGAATTTTTGTGGGATTTTTGGTGGAAGGGATGATTGGACGGCAATGGCGGTGTCGCTTTCGACCAACGCCGTGAAGGTGTACTCTCCGGTGACGGGCCAGTACTACGGAGAGTGCAAGGGCCACTCTGCCACTATCAACCAAATTGCATTTTCAGGTCCATCAACTCCACATGTCCTGCACTCTTGTTCTTCTGATGGAACGATTCGAGCTTGGGACACGCGCACATTTCAACAGGTTCGCTCCCCGAATTGCAGACATAAACTAACAATGTTTTGCAAGCATAAACACAAATGTTTCTTAACTCGTTTTTGTTTGATTGTTAATGATGCAGGTTTCATCTTTTCATTCTGGCTCTTCTCAGGAGATTTTCAGCTTTTCGTTCGGAGGATCAGGGAACAATCTTCTCGCCGCGGGATGTGATGCTCAGGTGCTGCATCCATTGTAATGGCTTTAATTGTGTTTTGTGGCTCCAATCATTAATTAATCAAGATTTTCATGTAGCTCGTTATTTTTCTAGTTTTATGTTCTCCGTGTAATCAATAATTCAACGTTCCACATTAGTGAAGATCGTGTCAGTTGTAGGCTAAAATTTCAGAAGATAGCGCGCTCAACATTCCACATTTACTCTTTAGTCTGCTCAAACTCATTGGGTGCAAAACCATTTTAAGTTTTTATGCTTATGATTCTAGACGTGACACAGAACCAAGCGCAATGACATTCTAGGATTCATTAGCCGACCCCACTTAGTGGGAAAAGGCTTTGTTGTTGTCGTATGCTTATGATTCTTCACATATTTCGACAGATTCTATATCATTTGTTTTTCCCCCTTCTTGCTGTTTGACTTGTTATGCTCAGATACTATTCTGGGATTGGAGGAGCAATAAACAAGTAGCGTGCCTTGAGGATTCTCATGTAGAAGATGTTACCCAGGTTGATTCTAATCCATTTTGTTTTTGTTTGACATATGGATTTGACAGTTTAACTTTAGCAATGTGAAACATTTTCTTCCGCCAAATTGCATTGTGAAAGTTGTGGAACTTGATAGAACTGGGCGGCCTATATAACTTAATGTTTTCAATAGGTTCACTTCATCCCGGATCATCAAAGCAAGCTTCTTTCTGCTTCTGTTGATGGATTGATGTGTATATTTGATACCGAAGGAGATATCAATGAAGATGATCATCTAGATTCAGTAAGTTAAAAGTTGAAGAGGTTTAGAGTTTATAGTTTTACATAGTCATGACGATTTACCTTCCAAAAAATATAGGTGCTAAATGTTGGCACTTCAATTGGGAAGGTTGGGTTTTTTGGAGAGACGTATCAAAAGCTCTGGTGTTTGACCCATATTGAGACCTTAAGGTATCTCCTTCTATCAATTGATTATGAATCTACCCCAGTCACACAATGCACGACTTCTATTTGTTAGTCTCGTGAACATAGTGGCTTACTTAGTGATTTGCATCTTCTAACTCGGGAAACAGGATTGAAGTTAAGATCTTTGAACAATTGTCTTGCTTTTGAGTACAAATATGCGTTTTGTGCTGCTTATATTTTCCCTGTAACTTGATAACTGCTCATGTAGTATCTGGGACTGGAAGGATGCAAGTGAAAAGAGTTTCCATGATGCTCGTTCTTTGGCTTCTAAAGGCTGGACACTCGATGATGTAAGTTCTCTCTAACAGATTCTTCTCTTTTAGTCAACTAGTTATGAGATTAGCCTTATGTGAATATTTCATATTATTCATTTGAAATATCTTGCATGGCGTTAAAATGGAGGATATCGACAAACTTTGTGTGTATGCCATCATTTTAGCATAGACAAATGCTTTTACTTTTAGCCAAGCCAAGTAAACTCCGTTTGGCAGATCGATTATTTTGTTGATTGCCACTACTCAAGAGAAGCAGAACAGTTGTGGGTAATTGGTGGCACTAGTAGTGGCACTTTAGGTTACTTCCCTGTAAGTTATAAAGGAAACAAAGCTATAGGGTCTGCTGAAGCAGTTCTTGGAGGTGGCCACACAGGTATTGTTCGAAGTGTGTTGCCAATGTCAAGCATGCCCAGCGGATCCAGCCAAGGCCACGGCATTTTTGGATGGACTGGTGGTGAAGATGGCCGCTTATGTTGCTGGTTATCAGATAATGCTCCCGAGATAAACCGATCATGGATTTCGAGTGCACTGGTTGCAAGATCACCTAGGACCCGCAACACAAAACGGCATCAACCCTACTAGAATCAAGATGTTTTTAGCTTCTCCGACTATTAAGTTTGTTTGCCTTTCTTGTAATTTTGTTCATTTTTTATTCTGTTTCGGTAAGGATACTGGTCCATATTTGTATGATCCATCCACCATTTACAATGTAAAATTTCAGAGGAATTTCGTAAGTACCAAATCTTTGCTCTTCAGATGATCAGCATGCGTGTGATGCAAGCATCGCCCCAACTCTCGATACATGGGCAAACATAATCAACTGTGTCCATCTTATGACTTCCATGATTGAACATCTACAAGAGTGCATGCAGTCTATCCCACAAAAATAATGTTATAATTTCCGCCTTTGGAAAAGTTCCGCTACTGTTTACCGAATGAAATTGGAATCTTTGAAATCTTTTTCCAACCCTAAGCCAACTTTCCGAAATATCTTCTGATGTAGAACAAATGGTTGAGTGGATTGAAGACGAAATGTGCTTTTTGTTTGTCGTCTGATTAACGTTGTTTTATATCCCCAAGGCCCTTGAGCTTCCCCAGGACAAACCTTTCGGTTTTATCCCCAACTCTGGTGATTCCAAAATTCTTTGTTCTTCAGGATTTATGCTTGTAATCCGTGTTAGCTTCGTGTTGCATCATTTTTCTGAGAACCTCAGAAAGAACGTTCAACTTCTTCCATTGTCTCCTTAACATCTTCGAGTTCTTTGGCAGTTCAGAGACTCGACTGTTTGGTTTCGGAAGCTTGGTTGGGAAGAGGACGAGTTACTGGTCTCAATTCGTTGCCACAAGGCCTATTGCTACCGATCAACGTACGTTTTAGCTACTGGTACTGCTCAACGTTTGGCATGCACCGAGCAACAGGGGGTCAAGATCTTTTCATCCTATATTTTGGTCTAATTCATGTCACTTGTTTAATTTTCCAACGATTTACCACCTTGACCGGTCGAGAGTGGAGTTGTGACCGTCCTCATAGTCAACTCCACTCTCGATCTCATACAGCTAATTAGGGTTTACCATCTCACTCTTGAGATAGTGCCACCAAGACAGATTGTGATAAGAGTGAAAAGATGGATACACATCGTCAACAATAAATTTTCAAACCCGCCAAACGGATACCAAAATACATTTCATATAGAACAAAAACACATTGGCTACACTTTTCCTGAATCATTCCGTCTAAATCGCATTACCATGATAATAAGAAGAAACTTGCCCATCTTGCTGTTTGTTTCACACTGTAAGCTGAATCAAGCTCGCCCTCGACCCCCACCTGACAGAAAAACAAAAATGATAAGCCTCGCGTCCAGTATATAGATTGATAATGATTCATGACTTATAAGCTAAGCTACCACAGTCCTTGAAGAAATGTAGTTACGAATGTACGACAGACAGAAGAAGATACAACAAATCAACCCTTTTCTTCCTTGAGGATGATAAGGGGCAGATGGGAAAACTAGTGTTACCTCTGCTTCCACCGGGCTTCCCACCAGGTCCACCTCTGCCTCGGCCTCCACCAGCACCCTTGGCACCATCATCCAAGCCGCGTCCAATGCCTTTAGCCTGTCGTCCACCAGGACCATCCTCCCTACCTCTTCCTCTCCCACGCCCTACTCCAGGTGGTTTCCTGTCTGGAAAAGTTTATCAAAGCACACAAAGTTAGAGAGCAATTTTCTCAATGGATAAAGCTATATCCTTTACCAATTTTGGATGCAGGGACGGAGAATAAAAAGATCTACACTACCAAATGAGATAACATTATCATACCTGAACGATTCTTGGTTTCTTCCTGGACCTTGTCAATCACCTGAAATGCAAAAGGAAACAACACTAGATTAGTCTAATAAGCTTCTAAAGTATTCGAACAAAATCGGAACAAATAAAGCTGGATGAAATCAAAAAACCTATTGCACGTGTTATCATTTTACACTATAGAAGTTAATCAGCATGAACTATATTCCTGGTCTGATGACAGAAATTGAATGCTGGGAATAGAAAGGCCAAAAGGTTTATACAAGCACAAAGCATACCTCATCAGGAACTCTAAGATACTTAATAGTATTCCCACGGATATAGCATTCAGGCATTCTCCAAAACCTATCTCCATCCTACAATGTATTCCAACAAAAAATTAATGGCACTATTTATACGATCGTAATATATCATTTCAAGTCCACCAAAACTTAACAACATAAATGAAACGACTCTTACTTTAGAGGTACAAATAACTTCTCGAAGATGGATGTTCATCCAAGTATCACAGTTGACCAAATGGCCATTGTAAGTCTCCCCATTTTTCAATTCTACCAACTATTAAAGCACACAAAACCCGCAAATCATAGATCTCAGTAGACGACAACAAAATCGAAAAATGGGGTTATGTCAAATTGCAATTTTAAGTCCAGAATCATCACAGTAAAGTTACAAGACAAGATCTTACCATAGGGTGCCCTTGGGCAGTCTTCAGCAAAGAAAGAGGAAGCTGCAGCAGTGAAAATTAACAAAGTTAAGCAAAAATTTCAAAATTTCAAAGCAAAAAGATTCAAAATTTCATAGAAAAAAGGGAAAAGAACCCTAAGATTTGTGTGGGTTCATATAACCTCAGCTCACTTTCCTCCATTTTCTCAGAAACCAAACAAAAATCCCAAAACAAAAATAAAAATCAGGGAGGGTGACATACCATCTTTTAGGGCTTGGAAATCGAACCTAGAGAAAATCAAGAGGCCTGCAAACAAAATAGGTAGATAAATTAAACAAGAAAGCAAGACAATAAAACCCTAAATAAAAAGAAATTGAAGATTATGAAAAAGTAAGAATTGTTAGGTACAAGACGATGCGGCACAAAACCCTAGCTGAAGTAGGTAGAAGATTTACCAGCACACAGGCTTGGATCACGAAAAAGGACCGAGCTTTACGCGGTTTGCTTCTGCTTCCAATAGCCTCTCTCTCTCTCTCTCTCTGAGCGAGTATCGAGCGGGTTCTTTACAAGTTAAAAACGAAACAGTTGGCCTTTATTACCTTCCACCCTCTCCTCCCTTTTATTCCTTTATATATGGGTTTAAAGGGTTTTGAATTTCAATTTATTTATTTGTTGTTGGCTTGGTTGTTGTTGTTGTTGTGTTGTTGTTGTTGTTGTTGTTTTTTTATTTATTTTATTTTTTTTTTTTTTTAAATTTAATTTTAAAGATGGACTATTAGTGGCAAACCACGATTATCCACTACTTACTGAGACCATAAAGATTTACAGAAACATTTCAGCCTTCTTCTAGCCACAAATTTATTCACGAGCTTTACGAGCAGATTATACTAAAACTCAAAATTCAACTAAATTTGCTAATACGTTTAATATTTTAATACAAATTATGTAAATCAACTTAACACAGTTCAAGTTTATTCGTGTTTGGCTCATTCGATTTGTGGTGGATAAAGAAAATGAGCCATGCTCGAATAAACTACTGAACTTATTAGCAAATTTAGTTGAATGCAACTAGTAAAAAAAAAAAAATAGCCGAGCTTGAATAAAATATTAAACTTAATAGTAAATTTAGTTGAATTTTGAGCTTAGTATAAGAGAGCTTTAACGAAAAACTCTTTGTATTGTTCACTTTAAAGAAAAACCATATTTTTACACTAAATCAATCCTGATACTATCCACTTTACCCTTTAATTTGTTCTTATCATTAATACTCAAAGTTTTCAAACCATTTTCATTTGTTTTCCTTTAGTATAATCCGCTCATGAATAACTTGTGCTCTTATTTTACTATCCGAGCTTTGTTCTTGTAACGAAAAGTTCCACGTAGCCAAAACCCAATTTCCTCACCGTACATGAAAAAGTTCCAAATGAAAACTGCCCTACTTCGCAGTGCTTGGAGTTTGGAAGGCAAATGTTTCATCAAGTGAAGAAAGTACAAAATAAGTTAGGGGACCACCAGGTAGTTCCCCGGTCGAGGTTAGGAAACATCCATCAAGAGTCTTCATCATCGCCTTCTTCGGACCTTCTGCGTATGGTTTTCAAGTCGACCAAATGGCGCATAGTCGGCCTGCCATGCGGGCAATTCCAAGGAGACTTCAGACCCGCCAAATGCTCAAGAATCTGAAACAGTCGATTATGTCAGAATTTTGCACGGTTTGATACTACAAACTGAAATTTACCGAGGTGTTACTGAAAAGGGTTAAAGAGTCAGGTGGTTGCGAAACAGGCGGAGGATCAACAGTAATACAAGATTATGCAAAAGGGTGTTACCTTCTGCATCTCATTTCTTCCAAGGGCGTCCCCGATCATAACAGATGATCTGCATGCGCGTGATGCTAGCATTGCACGAACTCTTGATGGGCAAACAGAATCAACTGTGTCCGTCTTATAACTCCCCATGACTGAGCATTCCCCGTGACTATCAGCAAGAGTGGAAATCAGGTCCTTGACATCTGTTTAAAACCAAAAACAATAATCATCGTCTTGTGTGCATCCTTCCGTGAAAGTGCGTGTGGCTTTTTCAGAAGAAAAACATGTTACAGATAGTATGACTAGGTACAATAACGGACTCCATATATGAACATGGACATTCAAATGCAAATGTAAGTTAAATTCATTGGAGACCGGCGAATCCTAGTCTGTCAAACAAAACATTGTCAATATTCTCTCCAACTGACATGGAAATAGTTGAAAATAATTCGTACCTTCAACTCCAAAAGTTATGTTTTTACTGAAGGGGACAGCTTTCAATTTAAAATGTTGCCCAGGCGGAGCCTGTGGATCCTCTTCCAAAGAGAATCCATTTTTCCTAAGATTGAAACCAGAAACCCGAGGTAAGGATCAAAATATAATCTTATTATTAATGAGTAATATGTGTATGAAAGAACGTAGTCAGACAGATTTTGCACCTGATTATGTCTATGTGCATTGAAGCAACAACTTCTTCCTGAGGAGATAACTCTAACCTCAATGGCCTACACAATCAAAGGTGAAAATAAGGCCTACCTACTTTATCTCCGATTTCATAAGGGAAAAGTCCTCTGAAACAATAATCCATACATACTGGGGATTAGGACATGCCCAATAAAGGTATTCAAAAACTCTAACTCACCGAAGAAGAGGCTGTTGGTTTAAGATAGTAGATTGTGATAGACGCTCGAAATTGTACTTCTCATCAGCTGCATGCTGGAAAGAGAAAAGACTATATCAGGTCCCAGTTTTCACCGAGGTAAATATGTGAACGTAGTGCAAAAATTTGAAGCGGGAAGAACTAACAGCATTACACCACTCAACATTAAACTAATTCTGAACCATGGATGGTACATACTTGATCCACAATAAACAGATCTTGATCTAACTTCCCAATGATGAAGCCAAGATTGAATTGCCCAATTACCTAAAAATTGGGAAGCAACTGGATATCAATACCAGCTAAACATAATCCAAATGCATGTATGGAGTAAATATGTGAGGAAAACGTAGAACAGAAAGAAAAGTAAGAAATGATCAAAAGATCCAGTCAAGGAAAGCTGATGCTGGTAATAGCACAGAAGTGCGTACCATATGGTTTAGCAAGCAACTACCTTCATTCTGCCAAAATCTTGCTTTCTAAAAAGTCTTTCCAACTCAGTAGTAGCTGCAGCTAAAGCCCTTGCTTTCCGCTCCTCGTTTTCTGATTGAGAAAGCTCAAGCGTTGCAGCAGCAAAGCACCTGTTAGTGGGAATACAAATCTTTCCCATCAAAAACAGCATTTACCAAAACTTTGCATGCTTCAAAAGTAACCATTCTAAAAGACCTTTGTGCTTTTACTCCTCCAGGTAAGCTTGATTTCGATCTAGACAACATCCGCAGCCTCCTTGTTTTTAGGTCTTGAAAGCTAAATTGCAAGGTTGAACACATCATAACACCAGAAGAAGTCTTTGGAGTGTCTAATAGTATACAAGAAGGTGATGGAGCTGGGACAGGAAGATCTTCAGACAAACAATTTAGACCTCCGCTAGGTGAAGCAGGTGATGCCATATTAGAAAGAGGATCTGCTATATGTTGAGGCTGTACATCCTGTAATTGAATTGTCAAGTATTAGGATTAAAGTTTCAATCCTACTATTATCTGGACTAAGATTATTTCCAGTTTGATTAGGCTTAGATTTAGTTCCTATTCTATTTTGGATTAGGATTTCTTTCCTAGAATGGGTTTACTTTCCTGCGTTCTTTAGGTTTAAGCATTATAAATATCTCTTGTAATTCCAATAGTTAAAACAATAAAGAGTTGATGGATGAAAAGCTTTGTTTTCCAGAGATTGGAATTCTAATCCTGCAATGGGATTATTTTGGTGAGATGCCAAAATTCTTGATGTGAGGCCAAGAACAGGTGAGAGGCCCCTGAAGAGCTTCTAGTTATTCTGTATTGTTGTGTTAATTAAGTTTTCTTTGTTTTAATTCTGCTAAACTATCAAATTTCCCCTCCCCAACTCTGTTCCGCATCACCTTGAGTATCTCAGAAGCATTCCATGCGTTCTATCTACCTTGATTTCTTTTACGTATTTTCTACAATAAGCCATAACTTTTTGATAGGATAATGATATATCATGATTCAACAAATTATAGTGCTTTCTGTCATCTCCAAAGAAAATATTGCAAATGGTGTAAAATAAGCATACAGCAATGATGTCAGAATTTAGGGCCATAAAACATCAGTGATAACTTCCTGAGCTCTCATTGATTTTAATTACCGAAAGAGAAACTTGTTAGTCTTGTACACATCAAACTCAAAACAAACAAGTTAAGAAGTTAGGTAAAAACTAGAAATCCGCTTACCTCTCTAGGATTGAGATCTTTAGTGTTGCCCCCAACAGAAATTGGACCTCTAATTTTATTGAGAATCTTGTCTGCTCTAAGATACTTGGATGGCTCATTCTCATCAGCTTCAGCAGAGTTATCAATCCCAGAAGAAGCATTGGCCTGGTCATGTCGAACAGGAGAGTTTGAAACAGTAGCATGCAAATCAGAAGTGCTTTCCTTGGAGTGAGAATGAAGAGCTCGGTTCCTTAGGACAGGCATTTCAGATAGCACTGTACTAATATTTTCATGTTTTCTTTTACTTACGGTCACAAATTGATTGAGTGATGATTGAACAGAGATTGAACGACTACATGAATCTCCATTGGCAGCATTCTCAACCACTCTTGAAAGAGAATGAGTTTGATCAGTTGTCATACTGTTGATATCTGTTGTTAATTTGCTACTACTACCACCAACCTTCTTACTGCTGTGTACTCTAAGAGTAAAGCCCTTGCTCATTGCATCTTCTAGGCTCAACTCTTCTACATCATTGGTGTACTCAGACTCAGTTTCAGGAGCTTTCGGACGAGCATTGCCTTCTGCAAGGTGATCCTTAACATGAATTTCTTCGGGAACACTGCCATCCAGAGATGATTGCTTCGGGAACATACGAGACATTTGACGACGAAAACATGACTCAGAGCTACCTGCTTCCTTAGTAGGCACCTCCTCAACTTTATTAATAGAACAAGGAGCATCACTTGGAGAATATGTTTGCAGCAAACCGCCTGGAGTGGCAATGCTCACTTCTTCAGAAACATCATCCTCTGTAGGCGATTGTTTCAGAAACTTAGACCTTTGACGAGGAGAACACAACTCTGACCTATCTGCTTCCTTAGTAGGGTCCTCAATTTTATTTACAGTGTAATGAGCATTACTTGAAGAATAAATCTCCTGTAAACCCTCCCTAAGGGCAACCAGTATGGCGCTTTCATCAGAAAAGAACACTTTCCTTTTATCAGGAGTTACATTGACATCACACGCTCTTGTTGGAACCGTAAAATTCATTATTGCAATGGGGTGCTGCTGGGAATTTGCTCTTCTATACAACTCATTCACAAGCTTGGTAACTTTAGGCATATCCACCGGCCTACCATTCACAAAAAAGTACTGTCTATCTCCCATATTTCGCCCACTACCCTGTCCCGACTTGGACAGAAAACCATCAACCTTGCAACTTTCAGACACAGATATACTCACTGGTTCTAAGCAATTGAACGTGGTCAATCCAAACAGTGTGACAATGTTATCTTTAAGGGAACCACTCCCTTGTGTTTTAAGTACCACAGATTTCGCATTTTTACCAGTAGCATTCGTGCAGACTAACCGAACGCCTTTTGCAATAAGAGCATAGGCCTATAAATCCAAATACCACAAGTATAACGATATAAGTTACGAATATACACTATCCATGGCACTCAATATAACATTATAAAGTAACAATGTATTATGCTATAATAAGTTATAAAACTCACACACATTCAATAAAGAAACAAGCTTTCCATACTCCTTCCGAATGTTGCGGCTGAATTCCTTGCACCGCACTGGTAAATTCGAAAACAAGTTCTTCACCGTGACGGTAGTGCCCACTTGCCGGGCGGTCTTCTTCTCGGCGACCAACAAACCCGAATGGTCGAATGTCAAGTGCGTGGCGACGGTCTCGTTCTTGGTCCTGGTTTCCACAGTCAAATCCCCCAAAGCACAGAGAGAGCTCAAGGCCTCGCCGCGGAAGCCGAAGGTGGTGAGGGACTGGAGGTCCGGGAACCCGGCAAGCTTCGAGGTGTGATGCTTGAGGGCAAGGACACGGAAGTTGTTCGGCGAAATGCCACAGCCATTGTCGACGATCTGGAACCACTCTTTGCCGTAGTCTTTGAGGGCGATTTCGATGCTGGTGGCGCCGGCGTCAAGGCTGTTCTCCACCAATTCCTTCACGGCGGCGGAGAGGTCGAGAATCACTTGGCCGGCGCAGATCCTGTGCACCACGCCCTTGTTTATCGGCTTTATTGTGGGGGAATCGTACGGAGCTGCTGCTGCTTCCATTTAAACCCTAAATCATCGATATGATGCCGTTTCTGAGTTGAAATGCACCGGGAAAATGCTCGATCGTAGAAAAAGTGGAAAAACCCTAGAAATTGACCTTTCGGATTTTGCCGCCTAAAAATGAAGCGCAACCGTTAGAGCGCGGGAGGGACTGGTGTTTACGCGGCCGAAGCTGACGTTTCACTCGTCTGCAGCTTTTCCCCTCTACTTCTTTCATTTTCAATTTTTTATCTTTTCGATTTTTCTTCGGAATTTTAACGAAAAATTTTCGATTATGTTCTTTTTAACGAAAAATCATATTTTTAAATTAAAAAATCAAATTTATTACTATTTATTTTACCCTTTATTTTGACTTTATCATTAAAACTCAAAATTTTCAAACTATTTTTATTAATTTTCTTTTTTTTTTCTTAAGTGATATTGTATAAATTATGAAAGGAGGAATTCAAATTAATTCAATTGCAAAAAAAAAAAAAAAAAATTTAAACTCAGGCGTATAAGAAATTAAACATTGCTTTAAGTTTGTCATCTTTTTAAGTCTAGATTTAACCATTGTTAAAAAAAATCTAAAATTTATCTAATACTGATTGTATATGTAGACATTGTTCGCCTTGTTAGAGCATTTTCAAATGAAACATTAAAAAACATGTCAACTTTTATTTGAATGTTGACGTGGCATTTTAAAGTCTACCATTTGACATAAAAGACAATATCTTGAATATCAAGTTGTAGGCTTTAAAATGCCACATCAAAATCCAGTAAAATTGGACATATATTTTTTAACGTCTCATTTGAAGATGCTCTAAGAAGACAAACAATGTTTTAAAGTGCTTGGTGGCGAGTACAAGGAATTAGTATCGGGTAAATTTTGGAGTTTTTTTTTAATTAAATTTCAACCAATGCTCTACATTTTGCTTTGATTCCTAAAACTTTAGACTTATAAGTGAACAACAATACCACTCGACTAAAGAACTAACTGGTATAAATCACTTTTTGGTACGTAGCAACTCAATGAGCATCTCTAACAAAGTCCACAAACGTAATTCTTCAAATACAAGTGCATTAACCTAATAGGCAATTTGAAGACAAAAATTTTCTACTTTACAATTGTACTCTCCAATTTACTCCACACAAATTTTTAGTATTTCATCATCTTTCGTCTTTTAATAATAAGAAGCAAGATAAAAATAATATTTTTAACGAACAAGTTGACAAATGACATCTTTTAACAACTGGAAAAATATGAACAGAGTGCGATAGCGAGTCTTTGAATCTACAGAGTGGGCAAAACCTATGTGGCGCTTCAAATTTAACAAAAAATAACATTTGTAGAGTCTGCTAGAAATGCGCCCGTCAAAGCAAAACTTTATGCGAGGAAGGACTATTTTTCCAACTTTTTTGAGTGCAAGCAATACCTCAAATTTATATTTGCCTTTCCTTGGTTATTTTTGTAACCCATGATGATATGATTTTTCTTGGCCCCGGTGCTTCAGCACTCTTTAGGCTCTTTGTCAACATGATGCAACATTCTTCGAATAAGGATCGCCAAAAACCAATGAAAATTGAACACGAAAACTTACGTACGCAGCTAATTGAAAGGAACCCTGGAAACACAAGATCTACGTCTTTTTAATGCTTATAGTCCAAAGAAGATCTGCATCGGATTGCACTGTTATTTTCTCTCCCTTGACGAGATTTGAAGTACTTATCAGACCACCAAACCTCATCTCTGTTTCAGCTGGAAAAGAAAAGTAAGACCGAGTTAGGCTCCGGCAATAATTGCACAGATACGAACAGAAAAAGTTTTCACCATATCTCATCCCAATGACACCACACTGTAAGAAGAAGCCCTCAACCCAAGTCTCAATACAGTTCCCACCAACAAACTATATGTGACTTGTACATACGGTTCCCACTCAAATTAGATAGGTTATGTGACCACAATCTTGGCATATACGGGCTGTTAGATAACCCGAAACATGAACAATGAAATCAATCCTAGGCACGCCCTTTTCCTTTTTGGTCACGTTTAAGTAGGTCAGAACAGGAAGAGGTGACCAGACAATTATATGCTAAGTGAACCGTAATACAATAAAAGTAAGAATTAACTAGCCTTACACCCTTAAGAGATACTCACCGAGATCCCATTGAAGCCCCTCGGTTGTAGTACTTCCAGATGGAATCCCAATGGCTACGAGTCCACAATGAGGGCCTTCAGCAGAAGACTGAATATGAATCTCATGGCAGTGTGTTCTTGGAAGAAGATGGATGAGGCAATCATCAGATATGAGAATTATTCAAATGTTTGAGAATCGACATAACATGTTGATGTTTCCAATCTTGTGGTCAAACCGTCCACCAAGTGCCCCAGCAACCAGAATGCATAGCTGCCAATACATCAAGAAGAAACTCAGTTCATGTACAGAGATGAAAAAACAAACTATCAGTCTATTTAGCGATGTGTCAATATCTGTAATTTTGACTACCCAACTCACAATAAATTGCAAGGAGTAAGGACAACATTTTACTTACGGAAAGTTTTACTAAAGCACCTACAAAATCAGACTAAATTCCAAAGCAGAAAAACAAAAAGAATGTTGAAACGGTAACAATATACAACATACATTAGATTTATCTAGGTTTGGTGCCGAGTCACATATGTATGCTATACACTTATGCAGATCCGTCGTGTCCTGATCCTCAGATTCATTAATAATTTGGGTTCCCTGCATTCAAATAGAAAAAGAGATCCTGAGAAAAGGCCAGATCACCGATGTATGCAGATCAAGGAGCAACAGTACCACCACGACACCAAGTGCAATATACGTAAATAGGCTGAATCATTTCCCACATAACTCCAAGGATGACAACATTAACAAACAATTCCACAAGTTTGCTAGATATGACAAGGAATGACAACTAAACATACTAAAAACCGTGTTCAAACGAGCTCACTTACCATACTAGCATAAAATTCCAGGACATCCTTTCGGATTGAATCCATGTCGCCCTTAATAACATCAGGCTTGTACCTGGCACAAATATCAGCACTTAGTATCAAAAAGTGGAAATTCGTCCTCATAAACAAACACAACAACAAAAAAACCTTATAAATCCTTGAAGGCGACTACGGTTGGTTTTGCGCCAAGTATTCCGTTGCTAACAGAAAATTACACTCCAGTATTACGCCTTCCAAACAACACCCCACTAAAGATTCAAAACTTTAAAAAATGGATAAAAACTAAAAAATTTCGAGAAAAAAAGCAAAAAACTGAAATTGCTTCAAACAACAAAAAGAGGTCTGGAAAAAGCAACAGCAACGGATTTGAACAACGTCAAAAAGCAATCAACTTTAACAATTAAACTAACACAGTGAAAGAATCGAATCAATTAAAAGCCATACTTTACACTTCAGAGTAAAATTCCACCAAAAAATAACTTTCAAAATCCAGAAAAGTAAAAGATTAACCTTTTCCGAACATCTACGGCGTTATCGTGGGGCAGCAGAAGAGGCATGTCATCGTAAACGCGATTGGCACCGCCGTCCGCACACATACGTAGTTGTGCTGCTCTAAACAAACACGCACCACAAAAAGCTCAGAGAAACAAATCGAAAACTGTAAAATTCGACAATTGAAAAGGAAGAGAGTTTGCAGGATAAGTACCGTGGTTCCAGAGCAGGGGAGCGAATCTCGGGAGGCTCTGGTTGAGCAAGACGGGCACGTAGGTCGGAGAAGGCGTCTGGTTGGGCGGAAGCGTAGGGAGGAGGAAAGCGGAGGAATGAGACATGAGGTCCATGGATTTGGAGGTCATTCGGCGGCGGCCTTCGGTGGCGTGATTTGCTTTTCGGTTAGTCTGGATTTGCGCTGGACTAAATGCCATTGCGAGGAGTCAAAACTTTTTTTTTTTTTTTTTTATAACTAAAAGCTTCAAAAAAATATACTTTTACATTAAAAAGTAAAAGCTCCAAATATTATTTATTTTAACAAAAAAATTATATTTTTAAATTAAAAAATTAATAATGATACTATTTAGTTTACCTTTTATTTTATCTTTATAGTTAAAATTCAAAATTTTCAAATACTTTTCATTAATTTTTTTTATTTGAATGTAAAGTCAAAACTAGGATTCTACCTTTCGTTCAATTCAACCGACATCGGCACACCTTCGGTCCTTTCTTCTTCTTCTTCTTCCCTCTTTTTTTTTTTTTTTTGAGACTTTGAAGAAAAGTTCTCAAAAATTATATTTTTACATTAAAAAGTTAAAAGCTTAGATACTGTTTATTTTAACGAAAAATTATATTTTTACACTAAAAACTCAATCATAAAACTATTTATTTTACCTTTTATTTTATTTTTATCGTTAAAACTTAAAATTTTCAAACATATTTTATTAGTTTTTTATTTTTCTTTTATTTGGATGTAAAATCAAAACTCAATTAAAGTAGTAAAGGATTCCACCTTTCATTCAATTCAATCGACAACCGCGCACCTTCGGTCCATTTATCAGATGTATGTCAACATGACGACGATAGTTTTTTTTAGTAAATTACACAAAACTATTTCAATTATGATTCAAACTATAATCTCATATCTCATGTTTGAAAAATTATAATGTCATATCTCATTTTACAAATTTATTATAATGTCAAACTTTCGTCAGTCTATCTGTTAATTTCTCTGTTAAATGCTGATATAGTTTGAGACATGCTCTACTTCCTCACCTAATAGATAAAAATATTAATAAATTTAGAAAAAATCATTTAAATATTTTTATAAAAAAATATTATGGGACCCACCCTTACAATTCTCACTACCCCTCTCAAAATTTTTATATGAAAATTCTTGTAACTTCTTTCTAAACTATGGACACAACGCTCTACATCAATCTACAACGTGCATTTGCATTCACATTTAAATATGAAGGGGATGAGTGAGAGTTGGGGGAGGAGGAAGCAGGCGGTTATACGTTTTTAGAGCATGTTGATAAATTGGCCTTCAATGGTAAATTGGTGCAAATCATGCCTCATAGTTTTTCATACTATTGTTTTACTTGTATCTTTAAAATGTACTCGTTCATCTAACGTGTCGTGCCTTATAGTCATAATGTTTGCTGAGATAGTTGATAAATTGGTTAAAAAATTTCTAATTTCATTAGTTCATTTAAAAAAATGATATCAGATTCTTAACAAGTGATCCATAACGATGTGACTCGTTAACTGATCAACTCAAAACTTGTTATTTTTGTATCGTTTGGTATCGGGTTAATAAGTCAAGAAATTGTTAGGCATACTTCTAGTATAACACAACTCTGCATCCTTTCTATCATACCTTTACAAACACTCCCAATATCACACTTTCATACACCGATCGACACAAATAAGCAAACATTAGAAAATTGTAATACGTCTTTCAGTTATCGACACAAAGAGAAAAAGGCTAAGTTAGATAACTGCTTATGAACTGGGAACGACATTCCTAACAGAGGTGTTAAATATAAATCAAATAAAAGGCGAAAAAAGAAGAAAAAAAAAAACCTATATATATCGTACAAATGGGGGCGTGACCTTCGACGGGATTTCCATGGATATCTTGCCACGCCTTATAAGCTCGATAAAGAAGAATAAACAAAACCAACAACTTCTATACACCGAAAAAAATACCTATGGTAGGTTCCAGAAGGGCTTAGAGGCGAAATTGCAGAGAAAAAGGAAACGACAGAGAAATTGTAAAACGGCTTTCATTCATATCCCAAAAGGATACCACCATGGGGATTGTATACCCACATCAGTCACTACAGACAAAGAGTTAGGTACACTATTGCTGAGTCACTATATTCTACTATTCCACTACTAGATAAGGATTAACCAAAAGAAATAAGCTGAGGTGGATTAGAATCCTAATATTCTACATAAAATAGCTGAGATACGTCTTCTTTCTTGATCCGCCTTCGCCGTATAGGTCATTCCATTGGAGGAGCTCACTCATATTTGTCGACTCCGATGACACACTTGCACACACCTGCATTGAATTCAATATTAGACAGCCAATGATCCGGAACACAACCGAACACTTCCGACCACCGTAGAATACTACAAGAAGCCAAAACCCCGTTATTGTATTATTAGGTCACAACGTACCTGCTCATGCGCATGTTTGAAGTCCTCCATCTTCAAGGGACGAATGTCGGTACTGCAGTACAACTCCGGTACAGGTCTGTTCTCCGCCAAAGCTAAACTTCTCTCCTGCGATACGTGGAGAAAGAACTACTTAGTTGCAGTAACCAACCACACCACTTCAAGTTCATAAATCCACAAGGGCTTCGTATTTTTGTTATACTATACGGAAAACCAACCTTTCTCTCTTTCTCTAAAATTTCCCTAATGGGGAGGTGAGCTGCAGCAACACATAGATTCTGCAACCACAACAAAAATCGGGACAATCCATTACATAAGAGAAAATAAAACTACATAGAATATAACCGACAAAAATAAAACTACGTATGTAAAAAGCTTAGATGGGTTTCATAAAAATTGGTAGGCAACCTTTAAGTCACTTCCCGAATACCCATTTGTCATATTTGCAACTGCTTCCAAATCAACGTCAGGTTCCAAATCTTCTTTGGCCAATACAACTCTCAGTATTTTTTCTCTGTTCTGGGCATCTGGCAAGTTCACCATCAATCTGCACATAGAATCAATTTTGTACGCAGGAAGTCAATACACTTGCGTTGACATATAACAGATGCAGTAGCAGCAGAACAGGCAAACATGCGATTTTACCTCCTCGGAAGCCTCCTAATAACAGCCTCATCAAGGTCAAAAGGCCTATTAGTAGCAGCAAGTACCAATACACGTTCTTTCTCCTTTGTACGCAGACCATCCCAGTTAACCATGAACTCATTTTTCATTTTACGCATAGCCTCATGTTCCCCAGGATTTTCACGTCTGCCTAACATGCTGTCAACCTATGATGGTAGCCATAAAAAAAAAAATCAAATTGGACGGGAATCAAATTGAGTGAAACAAGACGAAAAAAAGGATTCTATAAACACTCTCATAAAACTGACACGGTATCTTGCATGGCCGAGCCATCCACTAGTGGCCTACACTGCCGTAGTTTAATGACCGAGGCAAACTAGGCCACCATGTCAGCTTATAAATCAGTTCCCTGGACAGCGCAAATATATAGAATGTAATGAACCAACCTCATCAACAAAAACAACACTAGGGGCAATTTTACTAGCCAAGGAGAACACCGCTTTAACGTACTTCTCTCCTTCCCCAAACCACTGCAACAAAAGTTAAGGGGGTCATATGAATTCAATAGTTGTCACAAAATGTTTATCCAAGTTCCAACAACCACGATAAAATGCAAAAATACCTCTGAAGTAATACTTGACATTGATATGTTAATAAAGTTTGCACCAGCTTCAGTTGCAACAGCCTTTGCAAGCATAGTCTTTCCAGTACCCGGAGGACCAAATAGCAAGATTCCTTTACAAGGCTGTAGAATAAGTAACGATAATCAGAGAAGAAACATGAAAGAAAAGAAGCACCAACATAGAACTATTTCACTTTCCAAAGGGGAAAAATAAAAAGTGTGCCATGTTTCTACCTTAGTCAACTGTCCCTTGCTAAATAATTCAGGCCTCTGAAGAGGAAGCATCACCAACTCCTTTAGGGTGTCCTTCACATTTTCCAAGGCCCCGATGTCATCAAAAGTAACCCCAATATCGCTTGGTGGAATAACATCAGCAAGAAGTTTTTTCTCAAATTCATTTCCAGTAACCACATCCTGAAATATCATGGAGTTAAATCCAATACAATATACACTTACTTTCCTGATTATAGAAAGTCTATTTTACATTTCATCTTCAGAAAGCCGGAAGCAAGGCATTTGCGGTACTTCCCCAGAATATCAACTTACCTTAAGTGATTTCTTTATGCTCTTGGTTTCGTTTTGAATGCCTTGTAGAATGTTTAGTCCATTCTTAAGACTGTAGCATAGAACCATAAAAAATATGATAACAAAACAGAATAGACGGTATATTTAAACTACATTGTCCTAAGAATTTGTACAACCTTTCAGTAGAAATAACAAGTTTGTCATCTTTAACTAAAGCGTCTGAACAATGCATAAGATGGTGACTAACAGCCCATCCTACCACTTTGTCAACACCTGTTGAAGAAAAGATTATCCAATGAATCGCATAGGTGAATATTAAAGTCAATATTCCCTGCAAAATGTTCTGCACTACAAACTTTGAGTTCAAGAAAACGCACTTTCAGTTGTAAGTGCTAGATCTTTAATGCACAGACTTTCAAGGTCAGGGCAATCCACAGAAACTCGGTTAAGAACCTGAAAACATCAGCCTATGAAAATATCCAGGAATAGCATCGAAAGCACTAAACAAACTAACTAAAAATGTCAACAGAGAAATGAATCACGGTTAGTATTAGCAAGCACATGTGCACAATCTTCACATCCTTGTGTTTCAATAAGTGCGCAAGAAGGTGTAAGAACAGTATACATGAGAGACGTATTTAAGGGAAAGAACAATAGGAACAAAAAGAAGATGTGATCAGATGTACTTACTGAGCGAATGGTAACAATATTAGACTGCGATTTCAAAGTTTCAACATCACGTTCAAACTGCTGCTTCCAGTCCGAAAGTAAAGCCTCATCCTGCCAGGATAGCCGACAAATATTACCTTATGCAAGCAATAACAAATAGCACAACGACCATATAAGAAAAAAGGCTGACTACCTGGGGCATGATCACTTTGTTGGGGAAAATCCGAGAGAGTTGAACTTGCTTCATAGTTTTAGAAGTTTCTTTGCTCCTATCATGCAGCCTACCACCAAGGTTATCCTGAACACCACCAATAAATGTGTCATCTTGGTTTTTCAGAAGAAAAGTATCATCGTCTACAAAAAAGAGGGCAAAGTATTGTTGAATTTTATATTTCAATGTGAACAAAGCCCCCTCATCAGACTGTTTCAATTGACCTCGAGGAATTTGTGTACATTTGCAAGAGAAAGAAAGAGAGTTGAATGTAAATCAAACAGAAAGTGAATTAAAAATTAAATTAATCAGAAAAGAAATTAGTTACAGAGTAAAAACTCAAGACATGCTCTCACTCATCAAAGGCAAAGAAAGTAATGCACTTTGCACAGTTGTCAAGGTCTACAAATCTAAATCAGAATAAGCATGATTACAGATGCTGATATGAGTGGTTAAAAATTGCATTAGCATAACTGATGAAATTCACAGACCGGAAAAGCAAGATCAAGCAAAGCTGTTAATGTCAAACGACAATAGTGAGTTAGTGAGTTCAAAATCTGCTAACTGATAAAATCCTCAGCCTCTTACCTTTTCCTTGCGATTGTCCAACTGGGTATGAGAGCCGATCACAACAACATTCTCTGGCAAGTTTGCAAGCTTACTCTTCAAGACACTATATGCATCTGGGTTACCTGCCATAACCTTTTCTATATCTTTCAAAAACACTATCAAGGGAAGACTTTTACTCTCATTGGTTGCCACCTGCACAACATTGGTGCAGATATTGGTTGCCACCTGCACAACATTGGTGCAGATATTAATTCCAAATCAACAGCAACTATATTGGTATAGTAAAGGAAGCTCCTGTTAGTGTAAAGGAGATGAGTACCTCAAGAAGTTCACCGATTGAAAGACTGTCAATATCATCACCTCCAGAACCATACAAGGAGATGAGTATCTCAAGACGAAGTTCACCGATTGCATGAGTGGAAACACTGTCATGCCTTGGCACTTCTTTAACAGAATCAGAATCCTTGGGCGGTGGTGCCTGAACCTGTTAACAAGTATATTTCAAGAAATATTTAAAAGAAAAAAGTAGATCAACAACAACAGAAGGAGAAGATATGCTTGTAAGCAAAGAAGATTCTAGTTAAAAAAAGGGACATGAAGGAACATACACCAGGCAGGAGAAGAGAATCTACAATTAGTAATCTAGCACCAAAATGTTTCGCGAGTGCCTTTGCCAAGGTTTCCTGATATATCTCAGAACCTACAAAAGAATTATTAAAATAAAAACATAATGAATTAACAAGGAAAGTAAAAGAAAATATAAAATTTCAGAATTTACAAGCATCATCAACCACAGAAATACCTGCTGGACCAGATAATAATATGCGCGGGCTCGCGGTAGGAAGTGATGAAAAATATTTTCCAAACTTGCTACACCTCAAATTCGGGAGGGTGGATGCAATCAGAACCTTCTTTGTTGTTTCACTGTAAAAATGAAAAATGAGGAAAGGTCTGAGCGCAGAATTTACCAATAAGAGTCCAACTACATATGGACCAATCACAATAAGGGAAGCTAGTTCAGTATCATATGATGATCTAATGCACAATTAAAAACAAAAACAAAAAAAAAAAAAAGAAAGCAAATTGCTGCACCTTAGGTAATATGGAAAGCTTTCGAATGAGACATCAATATCATCAGGACGTAGAATTCCTTGTTGCAGTTTTTCTTTAAATGCTTGTCGACGTTGTCGTCTAGTTGATATCAACATTGGAGGATCAAAATTGTGAAGAAGTTGTCTGATTTCCCTGTGCTCGTCAAGTATCTCAGAAATGCAGCCAGTCAAGTCAAAATCGGCACTTGAAGAACCGCTAAACATTCGGAAGAGTGGACTTAATTGATAAGTTGCCCCTCTGTGAAGTTTTGGAAATTAAGTTGCCCCACTGTGAAGTTTTGCATTTTTGTATTATTTTCTTTTATTTCTCTTACCATTACGACAAACTATCATATTCAAGTCATTCAAAATATATTTTTCTGTGCAAAATCTATTATAATTTGTATTTAAACACTTGTAATCAACATTTTAAGACCTCAATTTAACAATATTTGAACCTGATTTTACTTTTTGTTAATTTTTTTATTTTATCAAAATCTAAATTACATATTAATAGAATCATCTTTATCAACCAAAAGATGGTGAAAGACTATTTAACAAAACAAAGTTTTGATATTTTTTGTTTAAGCCTCACCTACAGGTGATTTTAACATCTCTAATACACACACACACACTGTGACAACCCGTTCCAAATTTTACGTTTTTATTTTATTTTAAAAGCATGAATTTACGAACTTGCCCTAGAGGCAAGGACTTTGACTTCCGTTGACCATCGACTTGAGAGATGTGGGACATATTCTTTTAGCATATCCTCGTAGTACTCGTTGGTACGAACGTATATACGAAAGCCGTTTGCGAGTCCGGATTATAACGGTATAGTTACGGACGTTCGAAATTGGTTATTCAAGGCTTAGTGTTAATTAAATTAAATCCCCACTTTGTGGGATGAAGCCAAAAAATAAGAAATGAGAAAGAAAAAAAAAGAAAAAAAAAAAAAAAAAGGGGGGAAAGCTCCCGTGGGTTCCGTCCGTACACCTCTTCGACTACCCATCTTTCAAGGCCGATTCGGCCAACTCCGATGGATTTTTTCGATGCCACCACCACCATCTTGAAGCTCTCATTCCCCTCTACAAAACCCACCCAAGAACCACCTTGATTAACCATGAGATGTGGCGGTTTGAGGCCACGAAATTTGACGAAAATCAATGGTGCTCCGGCCACCCTTTTCGATTTTCCGGCAAATCAGCAAAGCGATGGCCGATGCCACCACCTAGGCTTTGTAGCCCATCATCCCAGGAGAAAAACCCAACCAACCTTGACCCCGTTGGACCACCGTAGACGACGAATCGACGTCGGGAAGTTTTAGGCACCCGCCGACTTTGTGGGCAAAATTGACCATCTTCCGTCCACTTTTGGACTTCGTGGCAGGTATGAAAGTTTCTCCACTCACTGAGATCTTCATTTTTGTGAAGTTTGAGAATTTTTGGAAATAGTTGGATTTTCCGGCGAGTCAGGGCGACTGACCGCCACCCGCTGCGGCGCGTGTGGCAGCGTGTGGCCAGTGGGCCACCAATGCTATTTTTCGGCTATGTCGAATGTCTTGAATTCAGTTTTGTTATTTGAATGACATAGGTTGATCGTTGGAACCTAAATTCGTTACGATACGTTGCTTGATGAAAATGTGAATCGACGATCCAATCGTTGGATTGTCACCAAACTTGGATACATTATAATATGTAATATTTAAAGATCATAAGAATTTATGGATTGAGAATCCGATGTACGGATCTTCCCGAATTGAATTTGTAAGTTAGTAAAATAAATGTTCACGTCCACTTGGTTTTGGGTAAATGGCGGAGATCCAACCGTTGGATCGTAATGAAAATTTAATATGTTATTCTAGAAACATATTTTGGATTGTTGGGAGTTACAGATTGGAAATCTGATATGCGGATCTTCCAAATCGAGCTATACAGGGTTGTAGATCCTACCGTCGATCTTTGATCGACGGTTGACTTTTGACTTTTGATCAATGGGTCTCAAATTATTCTTAAAGGTCCTTAAGGATATGTTTTATGTAAATTATGTATTCTATCGGTAAAAACTTTGAGACGTGATTTGATAATTGGTCGCAGACAACGATAGATCGTGATGTCTCGATGTGCGTGCAAGATAATCATAGCGTGGACTCCAGGTGAGTGAGCCTTTTTCTTTCATAGGCATATAATTGATAGTTCCACAAGCACTTTTATAGTGATCAGTGCTTGTTATCTACAATTAATCATTTCGAACTACGAATGACTTGATCCCTGTTTAGGGTACGTAAGCAGTCTAACAAGATGTTAGATGCAGCCATATAATAAATGAGATTAAATAATTGAGACAATAGCCTTGTTTAGTGAATCGAGCAATGTGAGGGACATTGGTGGGAATTGTGAGATTTAGCTTTATGATTTGGTGATTAAATGTTGATCATAAATCAATGCGTGAAGAATCAAGAAATTGAAGTAAGGAAAGGTAAGTATGATAGTTAATGTAACTAGGGTCTAATTGGGCTTATCACTAATGATTACTCTCAAAAGTAAATAGTTTGGGAGTAGGGTGTTATTGATTGTACATATTACGCCGTATTATATATATTTTGGGAATATCATGAAATGTTTGGGTTTAGATTGCATCATGGCATATTCATATGGACATTACCTGGACCTGACTATTGTGAATGCTTTGAAGTGCTATAAGACGTCGCGGACGCCCAGGTAAGCCTCAGGTGAGTACATGTTGATGTTAGTGATGTTAATGAGTATGATTGTGTTGAGATATAATATAGCTCATAAACCTGCACCCCGGTGTTAGTGCTTCCGCCCGTGGCCAGGGCACAGTTCTTCACGTGATGTTCACCTCCCGCACCTTATGCTCACCTTGGATTCAAGGTAGGTGCACAGTCCTGTCGTACAGACCACTTTAGGTGGTTCCGACTCGTAGATGACTCGCGATTATTCGCACAGTCTTCACGTGATCGTAGCACTTGAGAATACTTATTTACACCCAATCTTGTCGTACATACCACTTTAGGTGGTTCTGACTCGTGTACAGATATACTTATTGAGCTATTGGCTAGCAATGATTGATGAGATATGAATAAATCGTACAGGTCACTATAGGTGACTCCGACTTATATGCTAGCCATGATTGATGAGATATGGATAAGTCGTACAGGTCACTATAGGTGACTCCGACTTATATGCTAGCCACCATGATTGATGAGATATGGATAAGTCGTACAGGTCACTATAGGTGACTCCGACTTATATGCTAGCCATGATTGATGAGATATGGATAAGTTGTACACTCCGACTGATATATCATTTTGTATTGATTAAGTTCATTTGGCCTACTTATTATTGCATGGTGGAGTTGATGGCAAACCGTGGTTTTGGCCATTTCTGAGTATGGTTTGGATATATGTATATATGTTGTATTGTTTTATGGAAAACGATACGGGTTTTACATTTAGGGGCATTACTTTTAGAGAGGTAATAACTTTGGGAAGCTTGGTTTTATTGCTTACTTACACTCTGTTTGGTGCCCTCTAGGTTTTACTGCAGAGTTTGTATCGACAAGGATCTGTGGCGAATCTTAGTATTGATGGATATTTCTGAGGGTATGATTCTTACCCACACTCATGTACCTTACTTATACTCTGACATCGTGCGTGAAATGGGTTCGCTCCCGCTCACAACGCACTCTGGTATTAAAAAAATTTAGGTTCAAATTATTCACATTTTTCTACACTCTATCACATTTTATGGCTTCGTCACCTTCCAGGTGTCGGCCAGCACAGCTCGATTCAGGGTCCAAGTGGACTTTCTGGGTCGGGGTGTGTCACACACACACACACACGCACACATACATTTTAACATCTCTAAGTTGTTCACTTATTTTTTTTTTTTACTTTTCGGCTTAAATATTTTACTAAATATCCACTTGTTGCTCGATAAATCGTAAATCCGCTTCTAAATACATTATAAAGATTTCTTTAATGCTCATGGAAAATATTTGGAAACGTGGATTAACACGAATAGTTTTCAGTCGGTTTTGCAAATTCATACTAAATCACCATTCAATCTATTTATTTTGACCTTCGCCTCACTATGAAGTTTTGGAAATCAAGGCTAGGCTTTCCGTTGAGATTCTTGAGTGTCTATCCCCATTTGACAATGTTCTGGAACTCATTACTATGTTTTTCACTTATTTTTTTAGTTCTCGGCTCAAATGTTCTACTAATATACCTTTGTTGCTTAATAAGCCGTAAAACTGCTTCCAAATTCCTTAAAAAGTTTAACTTAATGCTCAGGAAAAATATTTTGCGAAAATAAAAAAATTACATTTTTGTCAAAACACAGGATGTTAGGCGGGCCCAACACATGCAGAATAAGGCGAATATTGGCATGCAAAACAAGGCAGGCTGTGCTCAAGAAAACATAGCAAGTTTCCTGGCATGCAAATTGAGGAAAGCTTTGCGCATGAGAAACGAGGAGGGATACGTCTCACAAATCTAGGCCAGTCCTGTGCATGAAAAACGAGACTAGCCCCGTGCACGTCAAAATGACGCAGACTCCATGGACAAAAAAAGGGGCTTCTGATACACAAAACAATGCGGACACCTCACATGCAGAATGAGGTGAACCCATGCACACAAGATGAGGTAGGCTATGTGCACACATAATGAGGTGGTGAACTCCTAGGTGCTCAAAAAATGAGTTAAGCTCCACGTATGGAAAAATATATTTTGAAGAATATGAATGTAATAATTTGTCGTAGTGGTAAGAGAACTGAAAGAAAAATTAACAAGCATCGTTGAAATTCCTGGGGTGCCAGAAAGTAGGCATAACTTTCTGCCACCCCCAAGAATTTCAATCATTTTTGTACATTTTTCTTTTATTTCTCTTACCACTACAACAAACTATCATATTCATGCCCTTCAAAATATATTTTTCTGTGCAAAATTTATTATAATTTGTATTTGATCACTTGTAATCAACCATTTAAGACCTAAATTTAACGATATTTGAACCCGATTTTTCTTTTTGTTAATTTTTTGTTTTTATCAAAATCTATACATATTAATAGAACCCTCATTGTGAACTAAAAAAAAGGTGAAAGACTATTTAACAAAACAAAATTTTGCTATTTTTATTTTAAGCCTCACCTACAAGTGATTTAACATCTCTAATTTTATAAAAAAAAAAAATTAAAAAAATAATAAAATATACATT